CTGTTGGGTCTATTCCTCACCACTTGTCTGGATCATTGTGGTCCTATCATCACCACTGTAGGATCATTGTGGGGTCTATCCTCATCAATGGAGGTCATTGGGGTCTATTCTCACCACTGTATGGATACATGTGGTCTTACTTTACCTTCTCGGTATCATATTTACGGTTTTTATCCCCCTCACCACTGTGGGACACTGTGAGATCTCCTCACCACTGTAGGTTATTGTGGTCTATCCTCACCACTGTGGGATCATTGTGGGCTAATCCGCAACCACTATAGGATCATTGTTGGTCGATCCCCTCACCACTGTAGGATCATTTGTGAGTCTATCTTCACCCCCCTCCTGTTAGGATCATTGTGGGTCTATCTCACCCACTGTTGATCTTGTGATCTATCTTCACCACTCAGGGATCATTGTGATTATCCTCACCTCTGTAGGATCACTGGAGTCTATCCTCACCACTGCTAGGATCAAGGGAAGTCTTATCCTACACCACTGTTTAGGATACACTGGGGAGTCTATCTCTCACCACTGTAGGGTTCACTGGGGTTCGATCCTCACTAACTGTGGATCACTGGGGGGTTCTAGCCTCACCACTGTAGGTCCACTGGGGTCTTTTCCTTCACCCCATGTTAGGGTCCACTGGCGTATATCTTTCACCTGTGTTACGTTGCTAATTTTCACCCTGAAGACCTCGATGCAGGGTGTGAAAGCATCAAGCCTTACTCCATTGCATCAAACAACTACACGGGTTTTTGCGCTTTGCTGGGTGAAGCATAAGGATACAATGATGGCACCGTAGGAGAGACCTCCATAACAAACAGCTTCAATGGAACACGGGGAAAACCAGCGATTATCCAGGGACGGAGTTTGGGGCGATGCCGCCATTACTTCGGCAGAAGCCCGACAGATGTAGTGGTTAGTTTACTGGGATGTACACCAGATGTGAGAAAGTGAAAAGGACCTCCGGTTGGGATTTCCTGTTGGGGGGTGAAATGCTGTGCTTGGAAGGTGTGCAAAAATTTGAATGTCCCTCGCGCGGTATTGCAAATTCGCTGTTAAAGTTCAAATGTTTATTTTTTCCTTCACATGTTCTTCTCCCTTTGGAAATACCGCCATCTCTTCTCTCTCTCTCTCTCTCTCGCCCCCCCCCCCTCTCTCTCTCTCTCTTCTATCTCTGTCTTTCTCTCTCTCTCTTGTTTGGTTTCTTTTGCAATGCCTGCCGTTTCGATCCAACCATGTTCACGGAGACACTTAGTCCTGCCGGTAAGTAAAGGTCACTGTGCCTGCCTCCGCTTATAGGACTACCCTGTTTTTTGTGTTAATGTTTATTTATATACTTAATATCGTGCAACGCAGTGAGTGGTGGAGGCTCGAATTGCCTCCGCTTGCCCCTAAGCCCGAAGAAGTGAAAAGAAACACCGTTGTAAGTGTATGGCGGTTTGCCCTTGGTCTGACCCAAATGAAGAATGCTCAGGTGGTATGGTCAAGTAGAGGAGGATCTAATGTTTGCTGGTGCGAGAGTTAGACATGATTTGGTTCCTTCGTCAGACAGACACTATCGTTATTATGATTTCTTATGGACGTTTCGTCAAACAAAAGATTTTTCAAGTTTTCGATCATGTCATTATTCTTGAACTTGTCGTTTTCGTAATTCATTAATATAATGTGCTTCCCCACCTTCTTACGGTACCGCTGCCAGCTGTGCTTCTTGTCATGGCCCCTGGCACTGCCTGAACAGAGATATGACAAGAACAAGGCCAGATAATTTCATAATAAACGACGTAATTACCCAAAAACAAAAAAATATTTACCGCCGTGCCTCTACTCAGTCACTCCTAAAGGAATACTCCACTTTTCTCCATGATGTTCTCCGGATGACTCCCAGGGTTAGGAGGCACCGTGGCTGCTTATCCCTGGGCCAGAACCCCGTCGGCCATTGCAGATAGAAGGAGAGGAGGAAGAGGTGCATGTGCAGTGTGTTCCTGGGGACAGCGGCAGCCCTGAGGGGGACACGGCCAGACTCATGGGTGGTTGTATGTTGATATGTGTTTTTTTGCATTTCGTGTGATGTTTTCGGCATTCTTTCGGCAATATTTAAGATTATTTGACTTGTACAGAATACCTGGCATAGTGCGTGTTATTTATGGGTTATACTGGACGTATTAGTATGTGCTAGAATGTTTGTTTACAGTTCAGTCATACTGATTTCTGGGTTTAAATTTCTTGCCGTTACAAAGGGACTTACTAAAGGCTGTCGAACTGTACATCACCCATGAAGGTGCTTGAACCTTAATCAATGATTTAAAGGTATTTCCGACCATTTATCCATGCTGAGGATTTACATCCTCTCAAAAATATATACAGTTATACACTCATGCTCTTATTGTATATTACGTCAAAGAAAAAATATACTCATTCAGATTAAATAGAATGGTTGTACAGTCAGTTTACCGTAAAAGCGTTAATACCGCGTAAAGCGTTAATGACGAAAATCTGAAAAATATGGCCACCGAAATTTTACTGAGATAATTTTAAAACTTAAGTATTGTTAGGGTATTTGACATAATAACAACGCATATTATGGAAAATGATATGAGTGTATTTGCTCTAATGTGTTATATTAGGTCCTTCCATATTATTGTGCTATATTTTCAAGATATCGAAATAATTAGCGCGCTCCCCCTAAGTTTTATAATTTGTTGTGAATTTTATGTACGACTTCGAAAAAATGACCATAATAAACTATTTACATGAATGAATATTTTTAATAAATTTTGAGCCCGGTGTTTGTTCTTAAAATCGATAAAAAAAATTCCTAAATTATCTCCTTCAGTGGCAAGAATAACGTAAATAAACTCATGAAAACATTCAGTTTAATGTTAATCAGGAATTTATATTATCTTGGAATATAACATTTTTCTAAAAAATAAAGATGATTAACGTATATTAATTATTTATAATGGATTTTTGATTTGTCGATAATTAATATGTAATGGATATGACGTTGCTTAACATCGTGTGATCTTGTAGTTATAGACAAAACATGGTTATTAAGGGACAATAATATCAACTGTGAATGTGTGTGTCATTAATTTTCATAACTAAACTTCTGTTGTTTAAGGGAAAGACGATAATGGCACTTTGTTATACAATTTCACAATTGCACTAAACACATCAAAATAATTTTGAAAAAAAATCAATACTAATAGAGAAAAAGAGGCATTGATTAATTAAGTGAGGGGATTTTCAGAATTAATTCTAGTTAAATATGAGAAAAATATCTAGATTGAATTTTTCATGCATGGGACTCCAAATATCCTTTTTAAAATTCACGTTCAATCTACTATTTCACTATTTTTCCCCACCTAATGATACACTTGTGGCTCCTGGGCGGTGTGGATCCGAGTCTCTGTTGAGGTCACCGATCGATCCCCAGTCAGTATTAGCTGAAGCAATTTGTTCCCCGGTTACTATTGCCTGTCATCCCCCATATCGATCTTAACTCTTCAAGTAGCAACGTTAGTTTTTTTAAGCTATGGTGTAAAAGGAATTAGTGCTTTCACAGTTTAGTTTTTTTTTTTAATTACTGGGCCAACTCTTTTATACCTAGATAAGCTCGACAGGCCTTATGTGGTCTTTCAATTAAAAACTTTTGGGTGTAAGCGGACTACCACAGCCTGAATTCCAAACAGTTGGGGATTACCATATTGGTATGTTCTGAAATCGGTTTCCAGCCGGACGAAGAAGAGGAGGTGTTGTGGCTCTCTTTACACCAAATGTACCCATGTTCAGGAATCTAAGACGGATAATTGATTTTGTGAACAAATTGTGCCAGTTGCTTTGCATAAACACACTCAAAATATAAAAAAAAAAAATCATTACAAATAGAAAGAAAGCACCATTATTAATTTTAACTGATTGGGATTTCCATAATTACTCTAGGTTAAGTTTAAAGAAAACAATATATTAAATTTTTCATGCACTGGACTCCAAATATTGGTTATGTACAAGGGGATTTTTTACACCTGCTGTACAGGTTCACCTTAGATATTGTATAAAAAAGTTTTCTTTACATCTGTGCTGATATTTTAGGTAGTAGCAGTCAACAGGGAGATGGTATTCTTTTTATATTAAGCGAGGTTTTTAAAATGAGGATTTTAAGACTGTGAAATGAACTGCGTTAAAAAAATTTTTATTTTCAATCTTGAAATAAAGATAATGTATGTCGTACAATCAGAGTACAATACGACTTATGTCAATTTCTAAATAATTTTTGTCGGTTAAATTACAAATACGTTAAATGAAATTAGACGGACAAACCGCGTACATCCCCCAGTGACAACTCGGGGCAATTAATCCTAAATCAGGGAAAAAAATTATGTAATCTATCCTAAACCTGGCTGGCAGTGTTTTGAGAAGGTGGATTACCAGGAATTTGGCGTGAGAGAGTTAAAACTCTCTCACTGCGAAATCAGTTGAGAGAAGTCTCGCTAAAACCAGTGACCAGTAACTTAGGAAACCCCAGCTAGGTAGACCCTGATTGTTGCCTGAAGTATCTGCAACTGTCGCCATGCTGCCCTTTGGAGATCGCAAGCAGAAAGTATGAGATATAATTATTACACAATAATTCTACATTAACTGCCAAGCTGCATTGCACTGCAACTCATGAAGCAGTAAAAGCCTGCGGATCATTCAGGCTCAATCCTCCATCCTCTAATAGAAAACCATTAATTGCAAATAGAATAAATTATGCATGTGGACGATTTTGACAGATAAATATCCATATATATCACTGACAATACGTGTCTATAATACACAACGCCAAATGAAAAAAATACAGAGTATAAGCAAACAAATGTAATACAGAACCACAAACAGTGACAATTCTTTCATGCCAGTAATAAAATAAAAGTATGCAACGATGAACACTGTTTCGACAAGATGTAGTAAGGTGGAAAAATCTACAACTGGCGGGTATAATACTCACTTGATACAGGCGAGGACGGTGAACGCTACCACCAGGGTGACCAGAGACACGCTGTAGCCCACGTACGATACCACACGAACCACGGGAACCCACTGATGTGCGGGAGTGCATGATAGAGTACATGGGAGTACTTGTGAAGGACAGATAGCAGAGGACTTCCGTGTCCACAATGATGCTGTCTGCTGAGAGGAACTACCTACCTCTACCAAGATTAAGGACTATCGTGCAGTTCTAGATGTGTGAGTCAAGGATAGAAAAGTAAAAGGACCTCTCCTCTCTCTCCATTCCTTCCGGTCACTGCTGGCATTAAAATAACAGAAATATGACAAGGAATTACAGAAGAGAGAGAGAGAGAGAGAGAGAGAGAGAGAGAGAGAAGAGAGAGAGAGAGAGAGAGAGAGAGAGAGAGAGAGAGAGAGAGAGAGGGGGGGGGAGGGAGGGAGGGAAGGAGGGGGCTCAGATATGTAGCCACGATTCTGAGAAAGAGTGGGGAAAGTTTCAAGAGGGGAACGTCCTGGGCAAGCCTGGGAGAGAGGGATTGGAAGGTTTAGAGAGGAGTGGGCCAGATTTTCAGAGGGGGAGGAAAAGAGCCATATTTTATGAGAAAGTGGGCAAGTTTCCTTCATGGAAAATGACGCTAAGTAGAGCAGGGGATCAGGAAAGAAAATAATATTAAAGATACTTCATAATGAACAAAGGTATATTACGCTAAAACAAAAAAAAATATTCGATCCCAAAACAGTTTACAAGTGAAGGGAATTCCACAAGAGCTGTGTAGGGCTCATACGGTATAAGCCGTCGTGGCCCCTAAAAAGTATCATCAACAACAACACAAGAGTAATATCCAGGGATGGAATTGCATCACTGCCACTGTTCCATCTCGTTAAGTAAATTAAAAACGTTGCAGACAGATGTCATATTGTATCGTTAACAAGGAAAAATATCTGTCTGTCATATAGAATATAAGGCTTACTTGTTAATTAAGTTGAAGTACAATGCGTCATTTTATGGATGAAAACACGTTAGGGTAACAATTATAATATAAAAATCCTAAAAAGCTACTGAAAAGAAAATAACTGAAAGAATTTTTTAAGCCGCGGATACACTACAACATTCCATTATAGTCACTCCCTCACATATAACATGATCAACCTATCACATATAGCATGATCATCCTCACATATATCGTTAAAATTACCCCTTACATATAACATAATGGTCACTCTTCCCATATAACGCTCTGATCACAACTCACATACAAAATTATGATTACTCATCACATATGTTATGATCACCCCTCACATATGTTATAATCACCCCTCACATATGTCATGATCACCCCTCACATATGTTATGATCACCCCTCACTTATGTTATGATCACCCCTCACTTATGTTATAATCACCCCTCACATATGTCATGATCACCCCTCACATATGTTATGATCACCCCTCACTTATGTTATGATCACCCCTCACTTATGTTATGATCACCCCTAACATATGTTATGATCATCCCTCACATATGTTATGATCACCCCTCACATATGTTATGATCACCCCTCACTTATGTTAGATCACCCCTCACTTATGTATGATCACCCCTCAACTTATGTTATGATCACCCCTCACTATGTTATGATCACCCCTAACATATGTTATGATCATCCCTCACATATGTTATGATCACCCCTAACATATGTTATGATCACCCCTAACATATGTTATGATCATCCCTCACATATGTTATGATCACCCCTAACATATGTTATGATCATCCCTCACATATGTTATGATCATCCTTCACCATATGTTTATGATCACCCCTAACATATGTTATGATCACCCCTAACATAGTTATGATCATCCCTCACATATGTTATGATCATCCTTCACATATGTTATGATCACCCCCTAACATATGTTATGATCATCCCTCACATATGTTATGATCATCCTTCACATATGTTATGATCACCCCTAACATATGTTATGATCATCCCTCACATATGTTATGATCATCCTTCACATATGTTATGATCACCCCTAACATATGTTATGATCATCCCTCACATATGTTATGATCACCCCTCACATATGTTATGATCACCCCTCACTTATGTTATGATCATCCCTCACTTATGTTATGATCACCCCTCACTTATGTTATGATCACCCCTCACATATGTTATGATCACCCCTCACTTATGTTATGATCATCCCTCACTTATGTTATGATCATCCCTCACTTATGTTATGATCATCCCTCACTTATGTTATGATCACCCCTAACATATGTTATGATCATCCCTCACATATGTTATGATCATCCTTCACATATGTTATGATCACCCCTAACATATGTTATGATCACCCCTCACTTATGTTATGATCATCCCTCACTTATGTTATGATCACCCCTAACATATGTTATGATCATCCCTCACATATGTTATGATCACCCCTCACATATGTTATGATCACCCCTCACTTATGTTATGATCATCCCTCACTTATGTTATGATCACCCCTCACTTATGTTATGATCACCCCTCACATATGTTATGATCACCCCTCACTTATGTTATGATCATCCCTCACTTATGTTATGATCATCCCTCACTTATGTTATAATCACCCCTCACATATGTTATGATCACCCCTCACTTATGTTATGATCACCCCTCACTTATGTTATGATCATCCCTCACTTATGTTATGATCACCCCTCACTTATGTTATGATCACCCCTCACTTATGTTATGATCACCCCTCACATATGTTATGATCACCCGTCACATATGTTATGATCACCCATATACTATGATCACCCCTCACATATGTTATGATCATCCCTCACATATGTTATGATCACCCCTCAAATACCTGGAGGTTACCTGGAGGTTATTCCGGGGATCAACGCCCCCGCGGCCCGGTCCATGACCAGGCCTCCCGATGGATCAGGGCCTGGTCAACTAGGCTGTTACTGCTGGCCGCACGCAGTCCAACGTACGAGCCAAAGCCCGGCTGATCCGGCACTGACTTTAGGTATCTGTCCAGCTCTCTCTTGAAGGCAGCCAGGGGTTTATTGGCAATTACCCTAATGCTTGATGGGAGGCTGTTAAACAGTTTTGGGCCCCGGACACTTATGGTGTTTTCCCTTAGTGTACCAATGGCGCCCCTACTTTTTATTTGGAGCATTTTGCATCGCCTGCCCAGTCTTTTACTTTCGTAGGGAGTGATTTCTGTGTGCAGATTTGGGACCATTCCTTCCAAGATTTTCCAAGTGTAGATTATGATATATCTCTCCCTCCTGCGTTCCAACGAGTACAAGTCAAGTGCTTCCAAGCGTTCCCAGTAGTTAAGGTGCTTGACAGAACTTATACGTGCAGTAAAGGATCTCTATACACTCTCTAGATCTGCGATTTCACCTGCTTTGAATGGAGATGTTTAAAGTACAGCAGTATTCCAGCCTAGAGAGAACAAGTGATTTGAAAAGGATCATCATGGGCTTGGCATCTCTCGTTTGAAAGTTCTCATTATCCATCCTATCATTTTCTTTGCACGTGCGATCGTGGCACTGTTGTAATCCTTGAAAGTGAGATCCTCAGACATTACTACTCCCAGGTCCCTTACATAGTTTTCCGCTCTATTCTATGGCCGGAGTCAGTAGTATACTCTGTTCTAGTTATATCTCCTCCGGTTTTCCATAACGAAGTAGTTGGAATTTGTCCTCATTGAACATCATATTGTTTACCGTTGCCCATTGGAAAACTTTGTTTATATCTTCTTGGAGATTAACCGCGTCCTCAGCAGATGACAGCCTCATGCAGATCCTAGTATCATCCGCAAAGGATGATACGGTGCGTGGCGTATATCTCTGTTTATGTCTGATATGAGGATAAGGAATAAGATGGGGCGAGTACTGTCCTTGTGGAACAGAGCTCTTCACTATGGCAGCCTCCGATTTAACTCTGTTGACCACTACTCTTTGTGTTTCGATTTGTTAGGAAGTTGAAGATCCATCTCCCCACTTTCCCAGTTATTCCTTTAGCACGTATTGTATGGGCTATTACGCCATGATCGCATTTGTCAAATGCTTTTGCAAAGTCTGTGTATATTACATCTGCATTCTGATTTTCTTCCAGTGCATCCAAGGCCATGTCATAGTGATCCAGTAGTTGTGAGAAGCAGGAGCGACCTGCCCTGAACCCATGTTGCCCTGGGTTGTGCAGATTTTGGGAATCCAGGTGATTATGATCATCCCACACATATGTTATGATCACCCTCACATATGTTATGATCACCCCTCACATATGTTATGATCACCCCTCACATATGTTATGATCACCCCTCACATATGTTATGATCATTCCTCACATATGTTATGATCACCGCTCACATATGTTATGATCACCCATATGTTATGATCACCCCTCACATATGTTATGATCATCCCTCACATATGTTATGATCATCCCTCACATATGTTATGATCATCCCTCACATATGTTATGATCATCCCTCACATATGTTATGATCATCCCTCACATATGTTATGATCACCCCTCACATATGTTATGATCACCCCTCACATATGTTATGATCATCCCTCACATATGTTATGATCATCCCTCACATATGTTACGATCACCCCTCATATATATTATGATCACCCCTCACATATATTATGATCACCCCTCACATACGTTATGATCACCCCTCACATACGTTATGATCACCCCTCACATACGTTATGATCACCCCTCACATACGTTATGATCACCCCTCACATACGTTATGATCACCCCTCACATACGTTATGATCACCCCTCACGTTTAATGTTATGGTGACTTATCAAACATAATAATATGATAACACAAACTACATGAATTATTCTGAACACCCATCTCACGTATTATTATGCATAATGATCACTCATCACCCAAGAGTTACCCTACTATCAAACTAGTTTGCCTGACTATTAGCTCTTTAAGTTGGCACAATTTCATACTTTTTTCATTTATGAAAATTTGGATTTCCTAAAAATAAAAGTTTGAAAGGATTACATTATTGCCTATGAGTACAGATA